CAGGCGTGGGAGCCCACCACCCCCTCCAGCCCGGCATCCAGGAGCCACACGCGCACGTTTTAGCCCCTGGGGTGGATGGAGAAGACCTGAATGTTGGGGGCAGCTCAGCATCCCCCCCAGCGCACCCCACGCAGGAGGGTGGACAACCCAACAAGCCACCCCTCGGCTGGCACATCCTTGGCACGGGGCCCAACACCCTCCCCAGGACCTCCCCCGCCCAAGCCCTGCCAAGCCCAGGGACACCTTGTCACTGAAGCAGCCCCCTCCACCCTACCCGGATGGGCACGTATCCGTGGGTCACATCAGATGGATCACAGGCAGTCGGCAGCGGCTCTTCTTGGGTGAGAAGCTGTGGGGTGAGGAGCACAGGGTGAGCTCCTGAGCGAGCCTGGAGCTCCATGGGACATCCCCACCACGCTGCTGCTGGTGGGACAGCCATGCGTTTCAGGCGGACAGGGATCCCCAGGAGAGCCGACCCAGACGACCACTACGTGCCTGGACACCCGAGAGCTCCTCCAGCTCCTTCAGGACGGTTTCAGTGTCCCTGACAAGTATGGTGGCCATTCCCATCTCCTGGGCCGGCTTCAAGTTCTCCCCGATGTCATCCAGAAAGATGACCTGGAGATACACCAGCGAGAGCCAGGCTCAGCACTCTGGGGAAGGGTGGCCACTGGCTTTGGCCAAGGACTTTGGGTGCTTGGAAGGACGCTCCGTGCCCTGTTTTTGGGGTGATGGTCGTACCTCCTGAGGTTTCGCCTGCAGAGCATCCAGGGCGTAGGTGTAGATCTGGGGATCCGGCTTCTGCGCTCCGAGCCGGCAGGACTCGATCACCAGGTCGAAGTGGCGACGCAGCAGGTTCATCAGCGTGGCCGTGAAGAGCCGCCCGGCGCTGTCATCCACCCAGTTGTTGGTGAGGACGCAGGTCTGAAATCCTAGGGAAGCGAGGAGCGGGGAGCGCTGGTTTTCCCACTCCGGTTCTCCCACAAGCGTTGGATTTCACCTCTCCTCCCCAGCCATGTTTCTCAGACGTTCCCAGTCCAAAATCTCCCATGTCTCCTGTCTAGACCAGGACACCCCAGCAGGAGATAGAAGGGTGTTCCGCAGGGGCTTATGCCCAATTGGTACTTCCAGGAAAGCAAGGCTCGACCCACCGAATGCAAGCGGGCAGTGAGCCGGAGCTTGGGCACACCGAGCCCACGCGGAC